TCCTTCTGGTACACCTATGATGCAGATGTTGTTATACTTTATATTGTTCCCAAATGTCTCTTAAGCTATCCTCATTTTTAAAAATTCTTTTTTTTTGCTGCTCTGATTGGGTGTTCTCTGCTACCTTGTCTTTCAAATTGCTAATTCGATCCTCTACTCATCCAACCTACTGTTTATTCCTTCTAGTATGTTCTTCATTTCAGATATTGTATTCTCCATTTCTGACTGGTTGTTTTTTATGGTTTCTGTGTCCTTTTTCATGCTATTGTAATTCTCACTACATTTCTTGAGCATTCTCATAACCATTTCTTTAAACTCTATATCTGATAAATTGCTTGTCTCCATTTCATTTATATCTTTTTCTGGAGACCTTCTGTTCTTTCATGTGGAACATATTTCTTTGTCATTCCATTTTGGCTGCCTCTTTGTGTTTGTTTCTACATATTAGGTAGATCTGCTATGACTCTCAGTCTTGGTAGGGCAGCTTTAAGTAGTAGTTGTCCTGTGCAACACAGTGATGCAATCTCCTTGATCACCTAAACTAGGTGCTCCAGGAATATCTGTTGTGTGGGTTATATGAACCCTCCTGTTGAGTTTTTATTGCTGTTGGCTCATTTGTGTGTGAGATTGACCCTTAGGCTGACTGACTGTGAGAATCAACCCTAATCACAGTGCATGAGCTGCTGTACAGGTGCTGTCCTCACGAAGTGGAATTTGCCTCAGAAGGGTCTGGTGCCTGCTGAGATCTCCCTTGGATATGCCACTAGTAAAGCCAATTGGATTCTGCTTTTATGTTTTCTGATGCTGGCCACTGTGTATGTCAGGTCTTGGGAGAGACTCTGGTGCCAGCAAATGCCAGACAGTGTCTATGACTGGCCCTGGGCTGCCTGTTTGCATCTACAGAGCTATCTACAGTTTTTGCCTGCCTCTGCTAGGTCTGGGTTTGCATGGGAAGGACCAAGCTGCACACCAAGCCTGGCTTTTACCAGAACCAGGCATAGGGGAAGGTCAGCAAAAGTCCCAAGGCACTCTGAGACCTGCCTTGCCTTCTTCCTCCTGCTGGCTGCCTGTTAGGCTCATTCACTGAAAGAGCTTCTGGTGGTACTTGAGTTGCATAAGGCAGTTTATAGTGAGTCACCAAATAGTGGCAAGTGGTGTTCACCAGATTGATAGAGGTTTAATATGTGCCCATGCTGGGTCTGAGGCCACTCAGCAAATGTCCCAGGGTATACCAAGTCTAGCTGCCACTCACTGGGTGCTTGCACACCTTTATGGTAGGACAGGGATCTCAGGGAGTCATCATGGTGAGGCCAGCAGAGTTTATCAGGCCCAAACAGACCTAGCTTTGACCCTGTGAAGGGAGGCCTCTACACCGCTCAGATCTTTGAAGGAAAATGGACCCCATCTTAGAGCCACACAACTCAGTTTGTTTCAGATTCTGTCAGGAGCCCGATCTCAGCAGGGAGTCAGGAAGATGGGGCTAGTAGATCTCCCTTGGGTGGGAGGTGTTGGTCAGGCTTGGGGGAAGGTGAGGGGAATGCCTACCCAGAGCCACATAACTCAGACTGTCCTGGATTCTAGCCAGGCCTCAGTAGGGCAGAGCCACCAGGAGTTGATAGGGTGGGGCTTCAGGAGCCTGGAGATTGGAGCTAGTGGATCTACCATGAGGGGGAGATATCAATCATGCTCTCAGGAAGGTAGGGGGAATGGCCCCCACCCCAAAGCCACACAACTCAGTCACTGACACCCCCTGAGTCTTCCCAAACCTCTACACCCCAGCCCAGGCAGCTGAGTCCTCAGCAGAGTGCAAGCTTTGCAGGGTAGGGCTATAGGTAGTCCAGACGGTGGAGCTATTGCATTTCTCCAGGCTGATGCCATATGGAGGGGAATGTTCCACCGAAGAAAGATGGCATCTGTGGTGTGGGAGAGGGACTCAGCACAGGTATCTTAGTAGCTGTCCCTTCAGCTCTCTCCCCAAAGCCACAAACCCCAGTCACTCCTTACAGGACTCTAGTCTGCTCCACCCTCCCTCCTCCAGAGCCCAGGGTGAGTGACTGTGAACAAGGTTTTGTGTGTTGGCCCTACAAGAGTGTTCTCATGTCTCTAGTAGACTCCTGTCTCTCCCTGGAAGACAGCATCCCTGCTTTCAGTCAGATGTTATGTGGGTGACTCTTCCCAGCTTTGGTGCTCTGGGCCCGGGACCTCACGCTTCTCAGGGAGAACCTCTGCAGCTGAGATATCCTTTCAAAATCTCAGCCACCACCTGTGAAAGCGGGGCCAGCCCTTTTTGCACTTTCACCCTTCTTAGCAGTCTTGATGTGTTTTTTTCTGTAAATCCTTGGTTATAAGACTTCTGTTCAGCTCTTCAGTTGGTTATTCAGGTTGGTTGCTCTATATTTTAGTTGTAATTCCAGTTTGGTCCTGGGAGGAGATGAGTGCAACATCCACCTACTCTACTACCATCTTGGATCGCTCACAGTCTGATATTATTCTAGCTCTCTCTTTGTATATTTGCCTCCTCCTAGAATGTAAGTTCCATGAGGGCAGGGACCCTATGTGTTTGGTTCACTTTTTGTTTCTTTAGCGCATAGAATACTGCTTGGCATATAATAAGTGTCCAATAAATCATTTTTGAATAAATGCAGAAAAGCCAGAGCTCAAATGCCATGGTGAGCACTGAACCTAGGAGGAACTAAGGTATACATGAGAAAGGAGAGAGAGAGCTTTAAATCAAGTCAAGTGGGATATGGGGAATGGCTAAAGGTGATTTCCTTAAGGCTAAGGACTTGATTTTATGCACAGCATCAGTGGGTTAATCCCATTTAGAGGGCCCAAGGAGCCATCACCATTGAGGTAAAGCAAGTAGTTGGTCCAGAACATTAAAAATGAATCAGGCAAACTTGGATCTAATTCAAATGTTTGAAACAATACATTACTTTCATGCAAGGTTGTTCCTAATAGACTGAATGAAAGCCCTTTAAATTTACAGGACTTTGCCAGATAAAAGTGGTGGTGGTAAGGTAAAGGAGCCACACAGAGGTGGAAACATGGTCAAAGGCACTGCTCTGTGAAAAGGCAAGAAAAAAGTTTAGTTTTCAAGAAAGTAAGTGGATTTGCACAAGACATTTTAAAAGACAGGGAGAAATCAGCAGGAGATGAAACTGGCAAGGTAGGTCCCAGCTACACTGAGGAGCATCTTGTGTGCCCAAGTGGAGAGCTTATTCATATTCCTTTTCCATGGGACAGGAAGAAAGTAGGAACTCACAGAAGGCCGTTTCTCATCAGGCAAGACACATAATCAGTTTTTATTTTTGAAGGGAAATCTGCTGAAGATGTGTGGAAGACTCACTGGAAAGCAGCAATACTGAGGGTATGAAAGGACTACAATAAAGTTAGGGGACTTTGCAATAAGAGAAGCAAGAGACAAGAAAGACCTGGACTAGACAGAAGTCGTTAGCCAAGAGAAGGAAGGCAAAATGTGAAAGGTATTTCTAAGGAATACTCTACAAAACTTTTGTCACTAAGTGGGTATAGGAGTGGACAGGTAAGGAGGAACTGGGTTTTGTTTCTAGTTGGAGATGGCGGGCATAGAAAAATCACTGTGTCGAAGCAAGAATACTGAAGGGGAACAGGTTTAGGAAGAAGATATAAGATGAAAATTGGAAGTGTTTGTGGGATGTCCAGTTACCAAATGGTTTTATTTGCTAATTGGAGGTATGCTCTTCTAAGAAAGCTCAGGATTTGGAAGTCATGGATATAGGCAATGGTAAATGAGGCCTCCCAGGATGAGGGTACAGAAAGAAAGAGAGGTCAAAGGAGAGTCTTCGAAAACCCAAACATTCAAGGGAATGTAAAACCCTCCTATAGTAAATCATATTTGTGTCCTAAAAACTAGGAGCAATCACATTCAAATTTACAAGTAAAGACACAGTGACTTGGCTATCCTCACGGCTATCATGAAACATTACCTTTCATTGCATTTCAGTTAGCTATCAGAATATTTACTATCTTACCAACGCAAAACCATGTGCTTGTGGTGGGGTAGGAGAAGCAGAAAGGAGAATAGGTTAGGGAATATGTTATGTGTAGGGATGCCTAGGAGGAACACATAGAAAAAGTTTCAGCTTTTGAGCAGCTTTCTATATGGCACTGAGTGGTGCTCTGTTTCTAGATGTGGGTTCAAGCTTCTAGTACTGACTGCCTCAGGAAAGTACCATTCCCATGGCGTCAAAAGGAACGGGTTTTAGAAAGATTCCTCTTTCCCAGTTTACATCTTACCTCATGTGACAAGATAAACCAGCCACAGCTACAAAACCAACCTAAAGATTTCCATCACTTCAGCTATAAATTGGACAAGATTGAACCTCCTTATAAATTATATCTTGGAAATCCAAGATGGCAACTGAGTGGGATATTACACGCACCTCCTCCCGGGACCGGATTAGCATTACAGCTAAAATATAGAGCAACCAACTTGAATAACAAACTGAAGACTAGCTGAAGAGAAGTCTTATAACCAAGGATCTACAGAAGAAGCCACATCAAGACTGGCAGGAAGTGGGGAGATGCAAAAAGGGCTGGCCTGTTTCCGCGCCCAGGCAGTGGCTGAGATTTCGGAGGGATATCTCAGCTGCAAAGGTTCCCCCTGAGAAACAGGGGATCTCAACCCCAAGCCAAGCTAGGTGAAAAAGGTGAAGAGATTAAACAAAGAAAAACAAAGTCATGGACACAGACAGCAGCACAGTGACTATCAGAGGGGAAGGGGGTAGAAGTGGGTAAAGGGGGGATAAATGGTGACAGAAGGGGACTTGACTGGGGTGGTGAACACACGACACAATATACAGATGATGTGTTATGGAACTGTCCATCTGAAACCCGTATAATTTTATTAACCAATGTCACCCCAATAAATTCAATAAAATTTCTTTTAAAATAAAATAAAATCTTGAATTTCATCAGTGAAATAATAAGTAAATAAATAGTGTCTTGTTTTCTTACAGTGCTTTTAAAGAGAAACGATGGCTTCAGCAGCTAGGAATAGCAAGAGTCCTGGCCAAAAAGAGCATCTCTAACCTGACTACCCAGGGAGGACAGACAGCACGTGAAAATCCTCTGGAAACTGCACAAGAAAAGTCATCACAACCCCAGTTTGGGTGAAGAACTGGCTAAATAGAACCTCCAGTTCTAATGTTAAATTTTTAGTAACAATCCTAATGCTATACTTTCTAATCACAGGTCTAACGCTACATAACTGTCAACAGGATATTTCATGTTAAATACCATGTTTTCTTGGACTTACCACTCTAAGTGGAAATTTGGGGCATTTGTTTTTGGATTAAGAGCCTGAGGAAGAATTCATAAAAACTGAGAATAGTAGTTGCCTCCGCAGTAGGGAAGCTGGGAGGATCAGAAACAAAGACAGAAATAAGAATTTTTACTGTTTCTCCTCCCGCCCCCTAGGGTTTGCTTGATTGTTTTGGGTTTTTTTTAAACCATATGAATACAGTGTATAGTAAAAAATAAAAGTAAAAAAATTCTACATAGGGACAGTTCCTAGGAGAGTTACAAATACCATCTAAGTCTAGTACTGGTCTCAGACATCTTTTGAACACCTGCTAAAACATTGCTTTCTATTCATTGTCTTAACTGAGGTAAAGTTTGCATACAGTGAGTTGCACAGGTCTTACATGTAAGATTCAATTGAGAGAAAAAAAAGATTCAATGACTTTGACAAATACATGCATCTGTGTAGCCAATATTCCGATCAAGAGATAGACTAATTCCATCACTCCAGAAAGTTTCTTTAAGCGTCTATCCAAGTGTATCCCAGCCCCCAATAGGCAACCGCTATTCTGCTACCTCCATAAACAGATAATCTTTCCCAGTCAGAGGAATCATTTAGCTGCTCACTATTGTCCCTGGGTTCTTTCGCTCAGCTTAATGTTCTGAGGTTCATTTACATTGTTGCATGTCTCATTAGGGCATTCATCTTTATTACTCAGTAGTGTGCCATTGTATGGATGGATGCACTATGATTTATCTGCTCAACTGTATGGACTTTGGGTTGCTTCAGGTTGGGGGATATTACTAATAAAGCTGCTATGAACACTGTTGTAACAGGTCTTTTTTGGACACGTTTTCATTGCTTTTGGTTGAATACCTAAGAGTGGAATTGTTGGGTAATAGGGTAAATATACATTTAATCTTCACTGGAGAAATATTTTTCTAGTGATTTTTAGAGAGAGCTTAAGGGAGGGAGGGAAGGAGAGAGAGAGAAACATCCATGTAAGAGAGACACGTCGACTGGTTGCCTCCTGCATGCGCTCTGACCAGGGCTGGGGATTGAAACTGCAACCGAGGTACTCATGTCCCCTTGCCTGTGAGTCAAACCTGAGATCCTTTGGTTGATGGGCTGATGCTCTAACCACTGAGCAAAACTTTGGTTTTTTTTGAGTTGTTTTGGCTATTCTCAGTCCTTTGCGTGTCCATATAAATTTTTAAATAAAGTTGACACTCTATAAAAAAAGGCTGCTGGGATCTTGATTGGGCATAACTGACCTCTTAATAGTATTGAATCTTACAACCCGTGGTATATTTGTCTACGCTATGTCCCCATTTAAGTTTCCCTTAATTTCTCTCATCAACGTTTTTTAGTTTTTGGTGCAGGGGTCTGGCAAATCTTTTGTTAATTTTTTTCTAAATATTTTGTTTTTCTATTTGTTAGGAAGATTTTTAAAATAGATTCTCGTCAACAGTCAGAGGCACCTATAGCTTAAAGCTCACTTTAAAAAATACCTTGCCTGGCCAGTTTGGCTTAGTGGTTAGAGAGTCAGCCCTCGGACTAAAGAGTCCCAGGTTTGGTTCCTGCCAAGGGCACGTACTTCTGTTGCAGGATCCGCCCCAGTAGGGGCGAGATCAGTAGACAGCCAGTTGATGTTTCTCACTCTTTCTCCTTCCACTCTCTGAAAAGCTAATGGAAAAAATATCCTCAGGTGAGGATTTAAAATAATAATAATAAAATAAATAAATAAAAATTAAAAATACCTTTACATTCCTAGTTAAATGTCCTGGGATTGGGGCACATATGATACAAAAGATAGGACAAGAGTGATGCTAGAGAGACGTTGTGAGGCAGGTGTGCACCTGTTAGTTCAGTGCAGAGGCAGAAAGAGGAGCTAGTGGCTGGAAGGGGTACAGGAGAGGTTCTGAAGTACTGATAGCATTCAATTTTTTCATCTGGGTTAATAGGTGTGTTTCATCTGAGAAAATTCAACAAGAAATTTTTTTTTTTAATCTGTACCCTTTTAATATGCATTTTGCAATCCAATTTAAAAAGTGAACTAATTTTTTTTTTTTTTTTAATCTCAGGCCCTTCACAGTCTGCTGAACTGAACTGTGAATCCTTGCAGGGCTGATGATATTTTATGTATCATTGAAACACAGCCAAGGAAATGCCTGGTGCAAAAATTCTGAAGCTGAAATGCCTGAGAAGGAGAATGGAATATGGGGAAATACAAGGGAAAAGGAAGGTGTATAAGGCAGAGAAAAAAAATACGAGGTGAGAATATGAAAAGGCAATTGATATGAAACATGTTCTCTGTCAGAGTCAACTGAACAACCACTGAGTATTTATTCTCTCTTGACTTTAGTCCCAGAAATAAGATAGGTTAAGAATTTAGCTTCCTTAAGATGTGAGATGAAATAACATTAAGATCTTACATACTTCTAATGGTAAACAAGTGTAAAGCACAATTGTTAGCATGCCCAGCATACCCTGGAACTCGTGCTGAGCCCAAATCTTACTGAATTGTCTCTCCGTTCATCCTTCGAGCTCTACCGTTCATCGCACTGAAATTACTCGATTGCTCCCTGCCCTTCCTGTCATCTTCTAGAGAGCATGGGCACTGTTTTATCAACTCCAAATTGCCAAGGCTTAGCAGATGCTTGAACCTTTGAGTAACCGCTTTATAAATATTTAATTGAGTGAATTTTAGGATGATGATGCACACGAAGTTCTCAATGATTTATACATATAAAACCTGCTCCAATAAAATATAAACGCTTTAGTTTACAAGTCCTCCAATTGCTTAATAATTTATTGTTTTATTTGATCATCGAAATCAATTTCTTAATGTGAATTTATTAGTTCATCTGAGCATCGTAACAGCCCTGCATGGCACAAATGGGCAGTCATTAAAAAAAAAAATTTTACAAATAAAGGTCAGTTTATAACATATAAAAACAACTTGCTGACAGCCCTACAGATGGTAAGTGTCAGAGCCAAATCTGGAATCTAAACTTTGTTTTTCATTCAGGTAATTTCCTCTAAATACCATTTGGTAGCAAATAGTCACTTTCTACGTTAGTCTAGGGAGTTTTAACTCCCAGGCTGGTTTCTGCCAACTGTAACTTGTCGTCTTGGCTCCCGCCTTTGGCCAGCCTGTTCCGGGGCTCCCTATTCCTTCAGCGCCTCTGCTCCCACTGCATCATGTGGAAGAAGGGCTATGTCATGTTGGTGTAATATTGAATCCATTCATACATTCACTTCGGCACTTCTTATTCCCTGTATAGACAGTCCTCTATTTACAATGGTCTCACTTTTTCTTTCTTTTTGTTTTCACAATGGTGCAAAAGTGATAGAAACCATTCAGTAGAAACCATATTTCAAATTTTGAATTTTGATCTTTCCCTGGGCTAGCAGTATGCAGTACCATACTCTCTGATGATGCCACCGGTCAGTCATGAGATCTCGAGGGGAAACAGCCAACACTCTACAGTGTACTGCTGTGTCGTTGCCAGCACTGCTTCAGTTCAGTGCTTCAAGCGTTCTTCAGGCCCCGTGTGCTTTCAGCTGTGTGTTAGTGTTGAATGCTTATATAACCATTCTATGTTTTTTTTAAATCCTCGCCTGAGGATATACTTTTTTTAATTGATCTTAGAGAGAGAGGAGAGAAACATCGATGTGACAGGAAAACATTAACCTGTTGCGTCCTGAACACACACCTACCAGGTTCTAACCCACAACCTAGGCATGTGCCCTGACCAGGAATCGAACCCACCACCTTTTGGTGTATGGGACCATGCTCCAACTGACTGAGCCCCCTGGCCAGAGCCAACCGTTCTGCTTTTCACTTTTAATACAGTATTCAATCAATTACATGAGATATTCAATATTTTATTATAAAATAAACTGTGTTCAATGTTGATTTTTTCCAGCTGTAGGCTAAGGTAAGAGTTCTGCGCATACGTAAGGTGGACGAGGCTAAGTATGATGTTCAGTAGCTTAGCGGTGTGAAATGCACTTTGATTTACGATTTTCAACGTACCATGTGTTTATCGGGACATAACCCCATCGTAAGCTGAGGAACATCTGTCTATGTATGGTTCTGGAACATCTCCTTTGAATTCGTTGAAACTACTTCTTACTGTAACCTTCCTGATTTCCTCCGTAATTCATGATTTCAATACAGTCTTTGCTGTGTGTTCATTATATCTGTAGAAAAATCACGATTTTACCTTTCCTCTAAATTATTCTTAAACAATGGACATTTTCTCAATAATGTATGAATAAGGCCTTCTTCAGGAAATAATGCTATTTTTGCTGATCTACAACTTACCGTCTAAGTAAAAATTTTGCTCTCGGTGCAAATGCTGCTTCATGACCCAACTACGGTACTGAGGTCAAGGACCTGCCGTCCTGCTTGTCCTTGGAGGAAACAATTCCAACTTCAGTCAGGCCTGAGGGACGAACAGACACAGAGCTCAGCTGAGGGACAAACAGACACAGAGCTCAGCGGAGAAACGTCCAGTTCCCCTCCTGCCCGGGAGACCGTCTCCCCCCGGGACATAAGATAGGTAAGAAGTCTCCCTCTCTCTCGGTTTCTCCCCACCACGCGCCCCGAGGCTGAGATTTGGGGGTCACGTTCCCACCAAGGAACAATTCTAGCGTCTCAGCAGGTGGGAGGTGACAGCTGGGAAAGGACTCTCGCGCCGCATTCAACACACAGAGACGAACCGCCTGCGCCCGCGGCCCCGGCCGTCGGGGGCGCCCTAAGCCTCCTCACGGACCCGGGACCACGCGGGGGCCCGTCCCC